TAGATGAGATATAATTATTTCATATATCCAACTGTGAAAGCTTCATTAAAAACCCTACTATTAGTAATAAAACTGCAATACAAGTTTTTCCATGATTACAGCAAGTTTCTGCTAACACCAATGCACTAAGAAGGGAAATACTTTCTAATTGATGATTTCTCTGGATGATTTTATGCAGTCAGTTGTGTGCACAAGTACATATTGGATATCTGATCACATTTATATGTAACACTTTATGTTTCCTGGGTATGAAGCAGGAGAGCACAGGAGTCAGGAGTGCCTTCCACATCACTCACCTTTGGGCAGAGCACACATTCACCTGCAAACTCGGGCCCTTCGGCACTTCCAGGTAGACTGTCATAAACAGGTAAACCAGAAAGGCAAATGATTATACAGACTGAAGCCTCCCTTGCCTAGCTTAGATTTAAAATAGTCTTTGTTCTCTAATTAAATCATCTCCACTCGAGAGACAACTCGAGTTACAGGAAACACAAATAAGCAGAGGCAAGGTGAATAATTCCTTTTTGCTATTTCTAGATCAATTAAATGCAATACTCACCTGCCTGCTCTTCCAGCAGCAGAACCCACATTCACTTCAGTGACAGCAAAGAACCATTTCAACTTCCAAAATGGCAAGACAAGGAGAGTGGAGGAAAAGAGATGGGTGATGGGGTTGGCAGAGAGGAGTGAGAAATATCAAACAAAAAGCAATTTAAATACCTTACTGTGTTAGATTCTTATTGCTAAATTTAAAGTTTGCTTTTAACTCTCATTTCAATGGATTCGCAGGAAAAAAATCTAAAGAGTAAATTTAGGTTTAATTGATCATTATGATTGATTTTATTAAAATAATATAGCAGAAAGACCTCTCTTCCAGTAAAGGGTTCTGGCTTTGATGTCTGATTGTTATGCAAATTCTGTGAAGTACAAGATATGGACAGAGGAATAATTAAACTTAGGACTTTGTCTATAATAATTCTTACATATGTAAATGTACTCTGGTTTGAGATAATGATGTGTACATGCACTGGGAACCATACAAATGTGTTGGGAAAGCCAGGAAACTCCCACAAACGTGCAGGTCCTCACCAGTGCCTCCAAGCAGGGGCTGGGCCAGCAGGGCCAGGCTGCTGGCACGTGCCAGGGGCACCCACACCCCCAGAGCCCCAGAGCACCCAGGAGCCCTGGGCTGGACACCCCCAGGAACAGATCCCAGGCACACAACCACTGGACAAACAGAGTGAGCTTTGTTCTGGAAGATAAACATTGACCATATACATCTATATATTTCAAAGCACTCAATTAGAAACTGAACTTTGCCCCTTTCTCAGGCTTTGAAATATTCTGGCCCCGAACACAGGCCTTTATTCTCCTTCAGTGTGGGCATCCCTCTTCCTCTCCTGCTCCAGCACACCATATGGCTCCCGACCCTGGGACAAATTCTGCACTGATTTATGGCCTCTGCACTCTGAGGGACTGACCTACAGCATAAATCCAGGGCAGAGCACATGGGCAGCCTGCACGTTCCTCCCCACACCGGCCCTGCTCCCGTGAGCTCATCTCTGCTGGCCAAGGATGGGGGATTTACACCCCACTCTGGCAGCAGATCTGGGCTCAGGGCACACCAGGGCAACCCAGCAAGCAATGAGACCTGGCAGGATGGACACCACATGTGCCAGCACACCCTGAAACACCCTCCAACAGACAGAGGGGATGCACCAGCCCTGCCAGCAGTGGAGGGTCCAGGCAGTGGAGGTGCCTGAGGTGGGTGAATGCTGCTGAGCCCCCTGGCTCTGCCACCACCACAGGGCATCACGTTTGAAAGGCTGGGCATAAGGCCCTCATTGGATGACAAAGCAAGAGTAACCCAGACTGGTTCCTCTGCAGGCAAAATAATTCCCAAAGAGGAGTGAACACAACCAGTTTTTAAGGCACTACAGCCCATCTGTCCCTCTCGAGACAACATGCACATGGAGCACATAAAGGGGCTCAAACAGCGTGCAGAGGCAGAAAAGGCAGCCAGAGCCATGGAGCAAGAGGGGATTGCCTTTGTTTCTGCCACCACCTGGTAAAGAAACAGCAAGTCCTGCAAGATGACCATGGACAATGAGGGATTTACTGACAGGCTGGGCAGCCCAGGCCAGGGCATTCCTGAGCTGCTGGCCAGGGGGTGTTCTCCAGAGGCTGCTCACAGCCATCCATAACACCACAGCCATCCATAGCACCACTGCCAACACCAGGGACACAGCAGGATTTTACATCATGGGGAAGAAAAGGAGGAGACTTTAGTTTTCACATTTTGTTCATCTTATTTACCTTTTGGTTTCACTAAGCTTGAAAACCAAACGAAGTGATCAAATTCACTTTTTTATTTATAGTCATTTTCACAACTTCTCCCTGAAAGCTGCACAGGATGTTTACACAGACATGAGAAATTGATTGACGCATCTTGAAAGCATTTCCTAAACACCCATCATCAAGAAAATATACACATGGACTTAAACTCCCTGATCTCTAAAGCAATTGATTTTGCCAAGGGTTTTTTCAGTGTCTGTACTGCTTAAACACATCTTCTCTGCCACTCTCTGGATTCTTTTCTACAGCCTTGGGGTGGGGGGTTTCTGCCCCCCATCCAAACCTCCAAGATTCCTGAGATAGATGCAACACTCAGTGAGGGATTGTAGCTCTACAAATCGGATGATACCACAACCACAGTTCAATGAAAGAAGCAAAAATCAAATCAAATCAAACAAAGAGATCCCATCATCCCCTGCCGCATCCTCACTCCTCCCCCTTCCCACCCAACCAGCAGCTCTGGAGTCCATAAAGGAGATCAGAGCAGAGCAGCTCTGCCCATACCCTGCTAAGCACAAAGTAAGGCAAATGAAATATGCTACACACTCTGCGTTTCCTTTGTTGTTTTCTCTCACCCACTGAAAAGGGCGATGGAAGCTCTTAGAGAAACATTTAGGGATGTGCAGCACCTTCTGCAATCTGCTCTAACACACACCAGCCAACAGCCACTTCGCTCCCATGGACTGCACCGAGCAGCACAAGTCCTGCAGGGCTTGTTTGGTGTGTCCGTGGGCTCAGCCCAGCGTCCCTCGCCCCAACGCCACTGCAGGCACCAGCAATGCCAAACCAACCTTACAGGGCAGTAAATATGTCATTCCAATCAGCTTGTCAACACCAATTAGCCCAGCCACACGGGCCAAATACCACTGTCAAGGACTCAGGGAGGCTACTGCAGCCCTTGCTCCGCTCCAGAAGTGCCAAGTTTGGGATGCAGTCCTGAGGTCCCTGGGCACGGCAGGGACCAGAGCCTCCATCAGCACAGGGCAACAAAGGAGCCTCCCCTGCTCCCTCCTTCAGCTGCTTTTCAGTTTCCTACTTCCTATGCTTTGTCTGCCAAAAGTAACAATTCACACAAACCCAAGTACTTTTCATGACTAGAAATTATTTTTAAAAAAATAGGATTTTGTGCTGTGGAAAACCCCAGCAATATAACACATATTAAAAAACTCATATTTTTTTCATAAAAACATGTTATAAGGTATGATAGCTGGCAGGATTATTCTGGAAGCCTGCACAAGTTCCAGCAACATTAGCATGACACAGTTTAAACTCCCAACATGTTTCACTGATACAAGCAGGAAACAAAAATTCCAGAAAAAACTCTCAGCACATGAAATCAAATCACCACACAGAGTACCTTTTTTTCTGTAATATTTTATTTTATTTATATAGAAATACTTAAAAAAACATGAAGTAGCACCATTACTTAAGTTTTACTTTTATTATGTAGAACTTTAAATGTCAGAAAAATAAAACTCTTGATACAATTTCAAATCTTGTCTCAGCAAATATAATATTAGTATTTGACCATGAGGTTAAAGGCCCTTTATCATAAAATAAAATATACTTTGTTTTTAAACTTTGCTCAGTAAAGTACATTTAAGCTCAAGTAACGTCACCTACATATACATAAACAAGTGGTAAACAAATGTATTAAAATAGAAATACTAAAACTATAGTGGTGCAACAGAATTTTTGTAATTTCCACTGAATTCTATTTATACAAATGTTAGAAAGCTTCAACAGTTCCTTTTGACATATGTTTATACATTTCCATTTTTGTAATAATATAGAATAAAATATGCTTTATATCACTGAATAGAAAATATGCTGGGTGAAGCAGATTTAAAAGATTTTTTTCTGAACCTATAAAATCTCCATCCCAACAGAATACTGTTCAAAGCATTACACATTTTATGGTTTGTAATTCCGTTCACAATTGTGTGATATTAAAATAATACAGTGTTCTTTGCCATAAGGCCATACTAAAATAAAAAAGATTTAACCCAGCTACAAAAAGTTCACTGAACTTAAATTAAAATACTTGTAAACATCTTTGCAATATGAAATATAATTTTTCAAGTCAAAAAAGAATAAAATACTTCAATCTGTATTAATGCAATTTATCTTTAAAACCTTTAAACGTTTTTAATATATATAAGAGATATGTTACAGTTTTGTTGGTTTTTTTTTTCTTTTTTCTTTTTAAAAGTCTGATAAAGCTGCAGTATCATGGTTTTTCACAGGAACTTCTTGCCCTTTCAAGAACATTCAGAAAAGTATCCACCCATAGATTTAATTATTTTGTAATAAGCATCCTAGAACTACCAGCACGTTTTACTAACAGTCCACACACCATTGTCATCATCATAAGCATCTTCTACTTTCAATTTTTTTTTCTGTTTTTTTTTCTTTTTTTTTTTCTGTTTGTTTGTTTATAAAAAAGGGGAGTTTTGGAAGCTTCGTATTAAAGTACAGTGTAAAAACTAGCCTAGCACTAGAATGGAGTCGCCCGTTATTATTTATAGCATGCACCCGCTGTCACACCACCCCCCAGCCCTCCCTCGGCCGCTGCCCGCGCCCCTCGGCGTGCGGCGGCCCCGGCCCCGCCGGCCCCCCCGGTTCGTGCCCCCGGCCCGCGGCGCTCAGGAGAAGATGCGGATGGCCTGGGTGACGGCGCTGTGGCACACGGGGCACTGCGGCTCCGTCTTCTCGCAAATGCGGTTGGCGCACTCCATGCAGAAGAGGTTGTGGCCGCAGGGCACCAGCGCCGCGATCACCTCGCTCTCGAAGCACACCGAGCAGTCGCGGCTGCCCTTCCGCCGCACGCCAGAGGAAGAGCAGGAGGAGCTGGACGAGGAGCTGGAGGAGGAGGACGAGGAGGCGGAGGAGTCGGAGGGCAGCCCGGGCAGGTGGGCGCCCAGCCCGTTGGCGTACAGCGGGTAGGAGGCGGCCAGCAGCCGCCCGCCGGGGTCGCTGCGCACCCGGCGCGCCAGCGGGTGCTCGGTGCCGGCCGCGCTGCCGTGCAGGGGCGGGGAGAGCCGCGCCGGGGGCGGGGCGGCGCCGCGCCGGGGGCCGCTCACCAGCAGCGCCAGGTTGGCATTGGCGGGCGCGGCGCCCGGGAAGGCGGCGGCGGCGGCAGGCGAGGGCGCGGGCGAGGGCGGCGCGGCGGGGCCGCGCTCGAACTGCGGCCAGAGGAGGGCGGCCCCGGGCGGCGGGGCGGGCGCCAGGTCGAAGCCGGGCGGCGAGTCGAAGGGCAGCTCGGAGCAGCAGTCCGGGGAGGAGAGGACGTCGCCGCCGCCCCCGCCGTACACGTAGCCGTTGGCGCTGTTGTTGTTGTTGTTGCCGTTGTGCGAGAAGCTCAGCGCCGGGCTCGGGGGGCTGTAGTCGGCCAGGCGGGCGCTGCCGCCCCCCCCGGTGCCGCCCCCGAAGTAGGAGTCGGTGGAGGCGCTGCCCAGCGAGCTGGAGCTGTCGTTGCGGTAGTTGCAGAAGGGCTTGCGGCCCGGGGTGGGTGTGATGCTGGGCGGCGTGGGCTTGCTCCAGAGGCTGCCCGTGCCGTTCAGCTCGAAGCCCACGTCCGTGCCGTTGGCGTGGAAGTCGTTCTCGTCCGTCAGCTCGATGATGCCGCCGGTGCGCATGGCGATGTGCGCCTCGATCTCCTCCCGGGCCCGGTCCACGTTCTCTGGCATGCCTGTCACCTCAAAGACCGGCTCCTTGTCCCGGCTCGGGGTCACGATGTACGTGTGCGTCTGCTGCTGGATGCGCTTGATGGTCGCCCCCTTGGGCCCCACGACCAAGCCCACCACGCGATAAGGCACCCGCACCTGGATGGTGGTTTGGCCGGGCAGGTTCGGGGGGCCGGGAACGGTGCCGTTCAGGGCTGTGTTCTTGTTCCGCGAGGCTCGGATCATGGAGAAGTGCTCGGCCGCAGAGATGATCTCCCTGCGGGCCATGGCCACATCTTCCTTTCTGCCCGTCACAACAAAGAGCGGCTCCTCCCCGCGAACCGGGGTCTTGATGTAGGTGTTGGTCTTTGCCCGCAGAGCTTTGATTTTACAACCTGGGAACGAGATGCGGAGATGGAGGGCGAAGGGGAGGGGGAGGAAGGGGAGGTGGTGGGGGAGAACCGGTTACAACCCATTGTTTGGGTGCAGCTAGGGAGGGGAAAAAAAATACACACCCACCCGAGAAACACATTGCCCCCAACCCCAGGTGATCGCTGGCATCTCGTCCGGGAGCCTCGGTCACGGTGTAAAGTAATGTCAGCCCACAGCCCTGGCACACGCCCAAAGGCATCGCAAGTGGCCACCGACACATCTGCCATGCAAACTGCCCCAAAACTACCAACGTGCAGTTCACAGGGTCGGTAACACGGGGGGGGGAAATAAAAAAAAGGAGCGACAAAAAAAAATTAAAAAAAAAAAAAAAGCGTGCAGGAAAACTGCACCGCCAGAAAAAAAAAAATAAAATAAAATGCAAGCAGCCCTCACAAATCAACACACCCGCCAGCCCACATTCCTGCTCAGCACTTTGCTTTTGGAAAAATAAAATCAGTTCTTAAGGTGAGGAGCAGAGGCTGTACCGAATGAGCCATATTCCCCACTGCGGATGCTTTATTCCAACCCCATTGTTCCACTTCTCCACTCCATTTCTCTTCCTTAAAAAAAATAATCCACGATTTCTAACTTTGGGGTGGTGGAGGGGGAAAAGCACCGAGGTCCCATTTTCCTCCCGTTTCCTCTTGCAAATCTTAACTTTTGCAGCCGGAGGAAAGGACAGATTTTTATTATTTTCCTGATTTCTTTTCCCCCAACCCGGCAGCTGAAAGTGCATCTCGAAACTGATGCATAACACTCCTCGGAAACATCACGTCTGCCGCTGCACTTTCTTTGTCTGGGGGAAGCCGGCACTGGCCACCGCCGCACGGCTGCAGCGTTCCTGGGAATGGCCAGTGTCGCATCTGAGCCGCCCGCCCGGCAGCGCGGAGGGGAGACCCGCGCCCCCACACCCCCTCGCATGCAGGCACCCACCTTGTCTCCCCACTATCTCAGCGACATGTTCCGAGCTGGGCACCGGCACGCATTCAGTCATGTTCACGCTCTTTTTCCGAGGCTCGTTGTCGTAAATGGAGCCCGTCTCGTCGTTGTCCAGCCCCAGCAGGGAGAGCTGATCCAGGGCGATCTGAAGGGCTCTTTGGTCATCCAGGGTCTCTCCCCCGCCACCACCACCACCACCGCCGCCGCCGCCGCTCCCGTTCCTCTCCATGTCTGCAAAAAGCGAGCTGGGCATAGTCCCTGTGTGTGGTGCACCCTCCGCCTGCGCTCGGCTCAGTAGTAAGAGATCAGACACAAAGGAGAACCCAAGGCAGATGGCCAGCAGGAGAGAAGGGAAGGGAGGGTGGGCGACTGCTGGAGACCGGGGAATTGTTGCCTTTTGCTTGTATATTTTGTATCTTTTTTGCTTTTTTTTTTCCTCCTCTCAGTGCAATCCGGTTTATAAGATGTTCTCAGGACCCCCCCCACGACTCCCCCCCGAGGTTTTTTCGGTTGGCTTTTTTTTTTTTCCTTTTTTTTTTTTTTTGTCGGCTGGGGGTGGGGTGGGGGGGGTGGGAAGAGGATAAGCGAGAGGAGCTCCGATGGCTTCCCCCCCTCGAGTTCCTCGCCGGCCACAATGCCAAGCGGCGGCAGCGTTTCTTTAAGGAGCCCCTCCCAGGCTCCACTCCACTCACTCAGCGTTTTTTTTTTCCTCCTCTCCCCTCCTCTGTCTGAGGCTCTGCTGCAGCCAGACGGCTCTGGAGAGGCGGGCGGGCGCGGGGCGGGGAGCGGGGGCCGCGCCGGGCGCCGCAGCGTAAGCGCCGCTCGCAGTCACCGCGCGCCGCCGCCGCGCGCCGCGATTGGCCGGGGCGGCGCGGAGGGGCCGGCGCTGCCCCCCCCGGCCCGGCCCGGCCCGGCCCCGCTCTTTGTTGTCGGCTGCCGAACAATGCCGGGCCCCGGCCCGCCGGCCGCCGCTCCCCCCACCCCCCCCCAAGCCCCGCGCCCCCGAGCGCCCGCCGCCAGCCCCACCTGAGCGCCGGCGGAGGGGGCCGCGCTTGGGGTGCGTTTTTGCGGCGGGGGGGTTGGTTCGGGGTGTGGGGGGGTGCCCTTTGTGCGCCGTCGGGTTCGGGAGCGGCAGCGCCGCCGCTCGCCGGCAGCGCCGCAGAGCCCCCGGCACCGCCCCCGCACCGGCCCCGACCCCGCGCCGGCAGCGCCGCCGCCCCTTCACCGGCCCCGCGGGCGGCGGCCGCGGGCGCGCGGAACCCCCCGCCGGCTCCCGCGCGGCCCCGCCCGGCGCGCGCCCCGCGCCTGCGCGCCCCTCCTTCCCTCCCTCCCCCGGCGCGCGCAGTGCGCCCGCGCGGGGCCGCGGCCGGGGCGGGACAGGCTGAGCCCTCACGGCCCGCTCCGCCCGGGCCCTCACAGCCCGCTCCGCCCGGGCCCTCAGCCCGCCCCGCCGCCCCGAGCCCGGGCTGCGCCGGCGGAGGCGCTTCCCGTTCCGCCCCGCGGGCGCTGCAGCCCCGGCGGGAGCCGCGGCCCCGCCCAGCCCGGCTCGGCGCGCCCCGGGCGCGGGGTGAGGGCCGTGACCCGAGCGCAGCCGTGTCCCGGTGCCGGCCGGAGCGCCCTGACACCGCGGTCCGCTCGTAAAGAGCCCGAAGGGTGTGAACGCCTCCCGCACAGCTGCTCCAGCGTAACATCACCGGCATCTTACTCCGCCTTGCTAAACCACTGGAAAATAAAGCACCTCTGCCTCTTCTTGGACCTTGTATGACCAAATTACTTTCTTTCACCTCTACCAGCACAGGACCCTTCAACCACCAAAAGTGGGGTTTTTTTGTCAAGTACTCTGTCACAAAGACCTTCTCCCTTGATGGGAGGATTAGACGTGAAAGTGGCCTCACCGTTGTCATAAAAACACCACCATCACATTTGATTGCTCTGGCACTTTTCCGTCTGTAAGCATCCATACTGAGTCCTTGCCAGCTGTCAGGTACAAAACCCTGATTTTTTCAGAGTAATCATATAACAAGCAATTGTTTTCCAGTATCAGGTGTGACAGGGACAGACAAGTGCACCCAGATCTGTTTAGCCAGCTGCCTGTACAAACAAGTGTAACAAGTCACAGGTAATTGTTTACATGCAGTGTTTATTGCAAATTACTGTCAACTCGCCAGGATGTTTGAATGTTGTATAACAAAGCTCCAGTGGATTGTTTTCCAGCAAGGGTACACACTGGTGATGTGCTTTCCTAAGTGCTGAGCTTGTCCCATCAACTAAGGAAATTGAGGTTTCATATTTAAAAGATTACTTATTCCACAGATTTACTTGCATAGGCAGCAGGGCTGGTTTCCATAGGGTAAACAAGAGGTCACTTATAAGTGCTCAAGAATCCATAAAACTTATAGCAACAAAATAATACTATTTGTTATTAAATAAAATAATTTTTTTTAAAGTCTGATTCTTTGCAATTTTTTTCAGTTCAACGAGTCTAAAATCTGTGAGACAGAACATTACTGTACCCATTACCAGACAGGGCAGGAAAGGACAGGGATGAGATGAGGGAAAGACACATCAGTGTAGGGAATTGGTGTTGTTGGAGTCCAAAAGTGAGAGTCATAAGTAATGAAATACAAGGATATGAGGAGAGGAGTTGGGTTGTGCTTGGATTTTACCTGTTCTTTGTTTTGCTTCTTCGCCTGAATTGTCCATTTTTTTCTTCCTTCCCCTTCCTACCCCATCTGCTGAAACAGGTCACTATACTGTACTGAACAAGGAGAAAAAGGGAAACACGTTATCCTCAGGTTTATGTTCCTCTATAGAAAAATTTCCCAAAGCAAGATTCCAGGCAGAGCTGGCTTTATTTTTAATGTTAAGCTAGAAGCTCCAATTAAAAATGCTTCAAATGCACTTCAGAATGAGCATGTACTTCCAGGGAGCAGGGAGAGAAGATGCATTTCTGGGAGACTAAGCCTGCACTGGTGTTCCAAGAGCCCCATGAATCCTGAGGAATGCTCCAACATCTCAAGCACTATTACTTTTTTACTATTTTGGAAGACGTTTAAGAGCAAACTAGAGGGAATAATAACAATTAAAAAGTTATACTGGTGTACCTTAAAACCCCCTTGTGCCAAGAGTGCAGCCCCCGGGGAGCACAGCAGCTATGCAGCAGTAGGTTCATATGGCAACAATAAACATGCACCAGATTTGTACAAATCTACTCCCTCCACAAAAGTATTGCTTCAGAATAACTTAATCAGGTCTAAATTAAAGTGTTATCTATCTCCAGAAAGCCTTTCGTTCCATAAAACCTTGAAACATGCACAGAATTAAACTCCATCTCTGGGGGAGAGACCAACCATCCACCTAGCAATTTACAGCAACTTAACAAAAGCAGGAAGGGAGGATATATTACAGGCAAATACAGGACTCGGTGCAGGAGGAGTGTAATTCTCAGTCCTTTTAGTTTCTCTCTGTTATCATTTCCCATTTGTGACAGAAGTAATAAAACTTCCTTCCTCCAACCTTTATTTAATTAAAGTGTAAGGTCTTTGGGGCAGTGAGCTTACTGTGTGTGTATATACAGCACCTAGCATGAAGAGGTCATGAATTCATCTCAGCTCTTTAAATACTCTTCTAAATACAAAGCATTAACAATAATAAGAATAGGATATAATTTTCATTTAGAATAGATGAGTCTTCTGTTTTCAATTATCACAAAGAATAAATTACATGCATCCCAGGGAATAATTAAATTAAGGGTTAAGGGAAAGTATTTCATACCAGAGACTTGTAACTCTGGTTTTTTTGCACTTAAAGACACTGCTGCCCACTCTTACAGCATTTGCTCAAAATTCTTATTTGCCATAATATTACAAAATAATGTCCCAAATCCCACAGGCCAGCTCATCAGTTACTGTAGGGGTATGGTTTAATCTGAGGCAGTGCATGTGATTACTGTGATAACATACCCAAATTAACCTTTTGCATGTGCAATAAACTGCAATTAGCAATCTGCAGACAAATGACAAGTTCCTTCGTTTCCTGTAATATGCAGCAGTACACAAGGCAGATTTCCTATTGAATCCCATATTAACCTACATTTGGTGGCAGTGAAATCTCAGAGCACCGTGTCAGAATTTATCATCTTCCAATGATGTCAGCTCCACCTCTTGACAGTTCTGGACGAGATGTTTATAAACAACTCATCCATAATCTGACCAATTTCAGCTGAAAATGTTTATCATTTTTTCACCAGTTGTTCCAGCCACTTTGAAGGCTTTTACTAAGGGATGGGCCAAGCTCTCACAACAGTAGGGTTGTGTTAATAAACAACAAGGAATGAAATGGAGATTGAGTAGTGAGTGGCTTTGTGATGCCTCTCTGAGCCGGTAGGAAGCTCAGGGATAGGGGAGCTGCAGAAGTGCCTCTTTCCCTTGTGATAAGGAATGTCACATCAAAAACTTCAAAATGGGAAGATGATGTTTCCACAAGCACTTTCATTCCCATAATTCCACACCTCTCCCTGCTACAGAATTCATTTGCAAAATATTTTTTTATAAACAAAGATCTTCTGGGACAAGTCGTGAAAAGCAATTTTGCTGCAAACCAGAAAAAGTCTCACACCTTTAACAGTCACCATCAGTCTCTGAAAATGTTGATACAGTACTGTAAACCTGAACCAGTTCCTAGCAGCTTTACTGAAGTGCTTGTTTCCAATATAATAAAACAAAAAAGATTTTTGTAATAGGCATCACATAACTGCACTTCCTTCATATGCCTTTGCTGGTAGTGTGACGCGAGCGATGAGTGTGTGCAGGCATGGAGGGGATGAAGTGCCTTATAAGAATGCAGTTTTGTTTAACACGAGGGATGGAAGGGAATTCAAAAAGCATAAAGATGCCTTTGTAATAAATCAGAACTAACCAGCCAGATCACCTGCCCACTTTAAGGCTCTCCACCAGGGTTGTGAGTGGCCTCCTTCAGTTATTGTTCCGCCCTGCCTCTCGTTTGTGAAGCAGGGTTATCGCGCAGCGTATCTGAATGGAGTGGTGTTTAACAACCGTGCCAAACAGAGTTTGAAATGAAAATCCCTTCTGCCTGTCCTTTGCTCTCACACGACGTGTTTGGAGCCCATCCTTCCCGTCGGCTCCCGCGAGCAGCTCTCCCTCTCCCTCTCCTCTCCCAGTGGAGCGCTCCCGCTGCGCGGCTGCGGGATTGGAGCTCTTTGTTACCATGGCCCGTGGGCCAGCTCTGCGGCTGCGGTGCAGCGCCGGCGTCTCCGGGCTGCGAGGCACCCACCGCACTCGTGGGCACTGCCTGCTCATCTGGCCTGGGTTAAAAAGGAATAAAAAAAAAAAAAAAAAAAAGGGAAGATGTATATCTGTATATATATTTATATCTGTTTAGACTGAGCTAGAAAACTCATAGATCTGTGAGGTACCTCATGACCTTGAGTCTTTTTTAATCAGTTCTAATCTCTGAAATAGTAAATTATAATTAAAATTTAATATAATTTTAATCTCTCAAATAGTTAATTATAATTAT